CATGACACGGCTGGCTGGCCGCTCCCGCCGCCCCCGCCGCCCCCGTCCGCTCTCGGCGCGGCGAGGCCGAGCCGCGCAGCGAGACGCCGCAGCAGCGGAGGGGAGATGAGGGCGCGCGTACGCGACGAGGCGCCGCGCAGCGCCGCGAGATGGGCCAAACCCTCGGCGGAGCTTCCCACCAGCTGCAGACATACCAGCTCGAGCAGCTCGGTGGGCAGCGACGAGAGCTCCACGGGCGCGTCTAGCGGCTCGAGCGGCTCGTCAGACAGCGCTTCGGCACCTGGCTGCAGCGGCGGGGCTGCCTCCGCCGCGAGCCCCGCGAGGGGCCTGCTCGCCATCGCACTCGCCCAAGTGAGCCGGTGCACCTACCAGTCGTGTCCCCCCTCAGCGAGGCGTCCACGAAACGGACAGAGCGGCGTGCTGGCGCACGAGAGCGAGCTGCGACCCTTCGCCGAAGAGGCAGCGCATCTCGCTGCCGGCGGCGGGCACCGCAGCCACATCGAGGCCGCACGCGGCGGCGCGAGCGAACAGGTGCTCGTCCGCCGCCTCGTGCCCTGGCCAGTGGTGGCAGTGCGCGCTCCAGACCGCACCGCCCGGCGCGAGCAGGCTGCAGACGCTCTCCAGCAGCGCCGCGTGCGCTGCGACGTTCCAAAAGCAGTCTGCGAGCAGCAGCGCGTCGAACCGGCCGCCGCCCTCGCCGCCGCCCTCTCCGCCGCCCTCGCCGCCGTCCCTGCGGATCTGTCCCTCGCCGCTGTGCACCGTGAGGCTGAGGCCGAGCTCAGACAGAGCGGCATCGAGTGGCTCAGTGCTCTCGCCCCACGTGTGGCCCACGACGCGGCAGCGGGCTGCTGCGGCGGAGGAGAGGACGCTGACGTTGCGGCGCACGTTCTCTCGGATGGCCTGCACGAGCGCTGGATGGTCAAAATCCGAGATGACGACACAAGCGGAAGCGTCCACCTCGGGCTGTGCTAGCAGCGTCAGGGATGGTAGACCGGCGCCAGCACCGAGCTCGACGACCCGCTTTCCTGCGAGCTTGCGGCCGAGGAACCCAAATTCGATCAACTGCGACAGCCGCACGCTTCCATGCCACACCGACCCGGCGTGAAGCTCTCCGAGTGCGGCACAACGCGAGCCGGGTGCGACGCCGAGGAGAAGCTTGCCTGCACTCAGCGAGTACTCCTCCACCACGCCCTCCCAGCCCACCCAGCCGCTCATTTCTGTTTGTTAGTTTACGCCCCCCACAGCAAATCGGTTTTTGCCCTTAACTAGTGCCGTTTTCGTTGGACCAATTTTCGCTTAACTTGGTCGGTTTTCAGCACTATTTTCAGCCAACGCCCACAGCAAATCGGTGAAAACCTGCTCTGCGAGAGCGAGTTTTGTGGCTTATCCGGCTTCCGTCGGTCGTCCCGTGACTGATCGCGCCGCCGCGTTGCACATTGGACACATGCTCTCGCGCGTGGCGCTGACGGGGACTATTGTGCGCCTCGCCGAGGCGCACAATAGTCCTTAGTCTGACAACGGCCAGTTCTGTCATCCTGGTGCTCAAGGAAACGGAAGCGGCGAAAGCCGACGCCTTGGTAGGTTTTGGGCCCTGGGCCAGATTCGGGCTTGGAGTTGGCCGCGTCGAGTTTTGGATCTCGACGCGCCCTTAACCTAAACGCGCGTCGAGATTAGTGCGATTTTTGGCGATTTTTGATGGCCTATTTTTCGCTTGGCAGTGGTGGGAAATCGCACTATTTAAGGGCAAAAACCGATTTGCTGTGGGGGGCGTTAGGCTGCTTGCACTCAGGGTGAGTCTTCAGTAAGCGCGGGTTAGCGCGGGTTAGTGCTCACTAACCCGGCACGGGTCAGCACGGGTCAGAATGGGTTACCATAACCCGGCACTAACCCGGCACTAACCCGTGCGGCTGGGGGGCATACGTCAGCATGGGTCTGCGCCGGGTTAGGGGTGGGTTAGGGCCGGGTTAGTTAGTGCAGCGCACCCCGGGTTAGAGCTAGCTGGTTGGCGAGATGAAACGGCTGCGGCGGGCACCCGAGCCGACCTCCGCGATGGAGCCTTGGCTGCAGAAGGCCGTGGATGCCAAGCTGCTCATTGAGAAGAACACCCGCGTGCGCAGTTCGGACGGGTCCAAGGCGGTCGCTCGTGCTGGAAGTGGACCGTGTACGTCGACTAGAGCACGTCCCTCCTCACTGCTCCGTGCGCGCCTGACGCCCAGTCGACACACCTCCCGGTGCGCCCATGGCCTCCACTGCCATGGCAGTGCGGGCTGCAGGGGGCCCGGCCCTAGGCCCGGCCCTCAACGTGTGCCAGTGATGGCCCTAGGGAGGAGGAGTGCGCTGAGGGCGGTACATTATAGATCCTGTGGCATGAGATTGTCCCGCTCGCCATGCGCCCGCGGCTGTGTGGTGTGGCGAGTGAGTGAACGCACGAGACTCGAGAGAGGGGTGGAACGAGCCGTAACCCAATCCCAAGCCTAACCCAGACTAACCCGAGACTAACCCGGCGCTAACCCGGCGCTAACCCGCGCTGCTCAAGGGGGCATACGTTAGGATGGGTTAGTGCCGGGTTAGCGTCGGGTTATGGTAACCCGTTCTAACCCGTGCTGACCCGTGCTGGGTTAGTGTGGCTTAACCCGGTGGAACCCACGGCTAACCCGCGCTTACTGACAGACTCACCTCAGGCTGCTTGCACTCGCCTGCATTGCCTGCAACTCGCCGTCGACAGCGCGAACCTCATCAGCGAGCAACTGCTCGAAACGCTTGCGCGAGACGCCGCTTCGGATGCGCTGTTTGAGCAACCCGTAGTCAATGTGTCGTCGTGGCGTGCGGTGCTTCTCGAGCACCTCCTTGAATTTCATGGAATATGAGGTCGAACGGGTTGCTCTCCTCAACTCCGACGGACTCGGATGTCGAGCGCATATTCTGGGACAATAAAAAACGATTTGCCGTATTGTTCATACCCGGGTACGGGCGCTGCGAGACTGGGCGAGAAGAAAAAAAACGGGGAGGCAGACGCCCGAAGGCAACCTGATGGTGGCGAACATGGCTCATGGGAGAGCGCTCGCGCACGGACGCACCACAATACCACACTCCCTGTGAGGTACAGTGGGTTGCGGGCATTAAGAAAACAGGATCGGGCACGCCGCCGTTTCTAATCCTTTCCACAGCCCTCATCCACCCCACGCCGTGGTTTCTTAGCTCCGGCCGGCACTCAAGCCAGAGCCGGCCCGACCGAAGGAAGGAGTTTTACTCGAGTAGGTGAGAGGTAAGCTGCGGTCCGCGAGGGCGATGCCAGAGTCTGCCGCCGAGTCGGCTCTCTGGATGACGGGAAGACGCACACACGCCTCCATCCACTCCACTCAGTCTCAGAACACCGCAGACTTGAAAAGTGACAAGTGCGCGCGCCGCAGGCGAAGAGAAATTTTGAGCTGCAGCTGGGGCTCCCGTTCACACTCGTATCTGGCCTTTTCTCGGGGCCGCGCCTGCGGCGCGCCGTGGTTTCTTAGATTTTCGCGGAAATCGCTTGGTAGGGTTTCTTAATGCCACGTTTTCTTGATGCCCGCAACCCACTGTAGTGTGCGTCTTTAGCGCGAATTCAGCACATATTTAGCACATATTTAGCACATATTTATTTAGTGTGTTTTATCTCCAATTTAGCGCCACGTTTAGTTCACTTTAGGTGCGGGCAGCTGCAGTACATTTAGTGTGGGTCCCGCATCTTTAGTGCGGGCACGCATCTTTAGCACGGCTTCCCGGCCACACCACAGCTAGCCAGGGCCGCGTGCTTTGCTCCTTGGCTGCCAAGAATGCACCACAAGAGATGCCTGGCCCCTGCCCTCATGACGCAAACAAAGGCAGGCTCCCAGTGAGGCTAGATATGCCCCCCTCCCCCCCCCGGGGGGCAGCCCTCCAGAGCAAGATCTCCCGACTGAGCACAGGCACAGCACCGATTCCCGAGAGGAGGACCAGCACAGTTGAATGCGCCACCGCAAGCACCACCTACCTCCGACCGCACAACCCATGCTGTGTGCCCGTGACCACCAGCTGTAATATAGAGTAGAGATGAGGGTCGGTCTTGGAATTTCAAAACCAATGTTGAACCAAAGGATGAAGGATCCAGACCACGATGACAGAAACGGCCAAATGGCAATGATCCATGTAGTCACCGCAAGCAGCTTTACATACGCGTGTACTCGTAGCATGTTGGATCCAGCCCCAGCCATGCACCTCCTCCTAAGTGCAATGGCAAATACAATATGCTCAATAGCTCGATGCCGGAGAAGCAGCCCGGAAAGCACCTTGGAGGCTGATATTCAGCTGAAGAACCTTCGTTCGGTTGGGGATGGGACGGGGAACTTTTGCGAGTGGGCAGGGAACTGCAGAGGGGGAGAGGGGGAGGCAGGGAGGCCCAGCGAGGGGCTGCGGCTGGATCCTACTGCGCGGCTGGACTAAAGACGCACTAAACCTCGCTAAATCTGGATGTAAAGTCGCAGTGAACTCGCGCTAAATTTGCGCTAAAGTTGTGCTAAATTCGCGCTAAATTCGCGCTAAATTCGCGCTAAAGTGCACTAAAAGATGCAGTAGATAAACACCTCACACCGCACTAAATTAAGACCCAAGCGCCCTTCCATACACAGAAGCAGGCACAGACGCCCGCGGGGATTTGGCAGGCGGCGAGGAGGGGGAGGGGGAGCGCGGCGGTGCGTGCTCGTGGCTCCCGCTGGTGCCAGAAGGGCCAGGAGCGCCCATCCGCCCAATGCGGTATGCGCTCAGCCTATATGTCCACCACCTTGGGAGAGGGGGGTGCGGGGGTCCACCTCCCTTGGGTGCGGGCTTGCGGTGGTCCTGCTTCCGCTTGCCCGACCTCGGCGGGTTGCGGCCGGGGTTCTTCATGGTGAATCTAGGTGAACCTGTCCGGCATTGCCGCGCGCCGGGGCTTCGTTCCCGACCCTGGTCCCCCCACCCCTCGGGCTCGGCGACTGCCTCGTTGGGCTGGGGGTTGCTGCACCATCCTGTTGGCTGTTGGTGCTGCGGGTGTGCCTGCGGTGCTGCGACATCACAGCAGAAGCACGGCTTTGGTTTTGCAGCGCTGCTTTTTTTCTTTTTTACGACCCCGCCGGGAAGAGTGGAACGGCAAGCGAGTCCTCGTGGAACCAGCCGGTGGCGGCCACGCGCGGCCGCGTGCTCGTCACCTCTCTGACGAGGTGCGGCAGGCTGACCGAGTCGAACAGCACGAGCGTCCCCGCGGCCGGCAGCACGTCGACGTGGTGCAGCTCCCCAAACTCTGTGAACTCTGCCGGCGTGCCTGTCGCGAAGCGCGGGTCGAGTCGCGACGTCGAGATCTGCTCGAAGCGGCTGCCGTACTCGGCCGCGAGGAAGGCGCCAAAGTCGACCGGCTGGCGAGGCACCTCGAAGGCGGCGGCGCTCAGCGCCTCTCGCCGCCCGCCGCCTCCGCCTCCGCCTGCGCGGCAGTAGAGGGTCGAGAGCCCTCCCTCCCTCGTCTCGAGAAAGACGGGCCTGCTCGCGTCGAGCCAGCCGACTTGCAGGTTGCCCGCGTCGGAGCCGACCGCCTGCGAGCTCGGCTGCGGGCGCGGGAAGGTGCGGAGCGCGCCCCCCTCGGCCGCCTCCCACTGCTCGTTGAGGTAGACGAGCCACGTGACCGAGCGGCGGCTCGGCCGCAGCCAGCCCTTGGTCCCCTTGGTCTCCTCGTGGTGCTCATCCAGGTGGCGCCCGAGCTTGGCGCCGGCCTCGTACCTGCGACGGGTCATTGCCAATGTGCTCTACAACACTTCGTAATTGATAACCGCCCAGTGAGAGCGGTGAGGGCGGCGGCTGCGAGGCAATGGCGAGGGCTGCAGAGGCTGTTACGAGGGAGCAAGCAAGCGCGCCAATTGTAAGTCATCTCGTGCCTCCGCTCGCCCTCGGACGCCAGCGTGGGCCGCCCCAGCCCCTCCGCCAGCTCCTCCCGCAGGGAGCGCATCCGCGCTGCGAACTGGAGCCGAGCGGCCTGGTCGCCCGTCGCCGAGCTCCAACCGTCGCCTCGAAAGGTCTGGCGGTCGCGCCGGTCGAAGCCCTGCTGGCTCCGCCCGACCGCCGTGTTGGTCAGGCCGTCGGGCGAGAACAGACCCGCCTCGAAGAGCGACATGGCGTCCTCGCGCAGCGAGCGCACGAGCGGCGGCGGCAGAAAGCCCGGCTCAACGTGGATCTGGCCTCGC